TGCCAACTTGGGCCAGTGAAGCAACATCCTCCACAACTAGACTGAAGAACAAAACGACAGCAACTTGTCTGTTTCCCTTCCCCCAATTCCCCAGCACTGTTCCCATCCCCCCAATTCCCCAATAAAAATCTTTGAAAAAAAAAAAAATGGAGCTCCTTGGTTGTACTAGCCACATTTCATGTGCTTGGTAGCTGACGTGGCTGGGGGCTGCTGTACCAACACAGATCTAGAACAGTCCCATCATCATAGACAGCTTTATTGGACAGTACTGGTCTGAATCATTAAAACCTTACATTTTCCATTGCAGAGGATTGGACATATTTTAATATTAAATCTCACAAATAGTCTTGTGATAGCCTAAGAAACAGAACTTCTGATGAATGAGGTTTGTGACTGGTTAACTCTTTCACTTGTAGTTTCATAACTAGTTCCTTGGGAGCTGGCCTCCCTTCAGCTCCATATAGTCTTTTAACTTCAGTGAGCCGCCACAGACTAACGTTCAGCAAATATTGGTCTTTGAAGGTGATGCATTTCTATATGAAATGCCCTATGAATTACAAAATAAATGCACTTTCTAGCTTTTTCTGCTACCAAGAGCATGGTTTCTGACTTGACAAGATACAGCATAACACCTAAGATGCCCGTGTTGGTAATGTAGTAATAAAATAAGGTTTGGGTGTACATTATTAAGACTGAAAAGTTGAGAGAAGAATAGAAATAATAGCAGGATTCTAAGGTTAATTTTGAATCTAGGCAGATGGACTAACACTAACGAAAATTTTCTTTCCCAAAGATGAAACACCATCACACATACAGGGGAAATATGAATTAATACAGTAAGAAAAAATAAAGAATAAGGTTGAGTAAATTAATATTATTCCACTCTTTATTAAGGGGTTACAAGTTCCTGGGGAGCTTCCTGTAGCTGTTTGAGCACCCAAGAGCCCTTCCCTCCACTTTAAAGGAGGTCAGGAAGACACACAGGGAGACAGGTTTTCGTTTTTAGACAGCAGGCGTGTCTTGAAGAGGAGGTTTGGATCTGCAACCTGGGAATGAGGCTATGTGCAATGAAGCTCCTGACCCTTCTCTGGTCTGGTGCCGTCCTCTGTACCCGCCACCCCCCATTCCCCCTCCTCCCCCCCTGTAAATTCATGTGGCTAGGTCCTGGGAATTTGAGACCTTGCAGCTCTGGAAAACGAAAAACAAAGAGGGTTCATTTTGAATAGCTTCTCGGGGCTGAACGAGCTTTCCAAATGGTATGCCCTACATAGCCAGTGTACCCCAGAACTGTGGTCAGACCTCAAGAAAGCCCTTGGTTTCCCTCTGGGTCTGGGCACTCCTCCAGCCTCGTGCAATGCCGGAGTGCATTTTTGACTCTGAGTCATTGAAAATGTACCTAAGCGACAGATGGTCGAAGCTTGTTACTTCCTGCATTTTGACTGAGTTTTGAAGTCTTGAAGATCTTTATCTTCCCCACCAAAGCTTCAAGGGTGTGTTGAGTGCTGCATAGGCATTTTAAAGAAACCTTAAATTTTACTCAGAGGACTACATGATGGAGTTAAATTTTTTTAAGTTTATTTTTATTTTTCCAATTACAGTTGATATTATTTTATATTAGTTTCAGGCGTGCAACATAGTGGTTAGATGTTTATATGATGTATGAAGTGATCCCTCCTGATAAGTCTAGTACTAGATGGTGGAACTCTGATTCTTTCACAAAAGGGACTTCCTTAGCTTCTTTAATTTCTTTTATTTAAATTATCATTGATGTGCCAGAAACTCAAATTGCATTATGCACATTCTATATAATATCTCCTGTAATGCTCGTAACAACCCAGGGAAGGAGGCATTATTGGTGTCCCCATTTTACAAATAAGGAAATGGAGACTTACGAACATAATTAAATCCCCAAAGTCATGCAACCAGTTAAGTGGCAAAACAGGGTTTGGATCCCAGGGCTGTCTGACTGTGGGACTCATTGCACGATACTGCAGAATGGAAGGAACAATTTTCATAGAACTGGACCCAAGTGGTTGTAGAAGCGCGAGCTAATCTAATTGCCAAGTTTCACTAGCTGGTGGTGAGTGAGACCGCTGCACATCACGGCAGCCCTACTTTCCTCCGCTGTGGTTAATGGTATGACGGCAACCATAGTTGGCTATGTCAGATGATCTGGGGGTCTAAGAGATACTGATGGTGCTTGTCTCCTCTTGTCACAGGTGGCTGTGTTATTGCAACGTGCCCCAGTTCTGTGATAGCCTGCCTCGATATGAAACCACGCAGGTGTTTGGGAGAACACTGCTTCGCTCAGTCTTCACCGTTATGAGACGACAGCTCCTGGAACAAGCAAGACAGGAAAAAGATAAACTGCCCCTTGAGAAACGAACTCTAATCCTCACCCATTTCCCAAAGTAAGGGAGTGCTCTTGCACGTTTTTGTTTCCTGTGGGGGCTTGAGACTGGTAAATATGTGCCAAAGCCCGCATCAATCACAAGACCAGAAATGACAAGAGACACATCCCAGGGAGGAGAGAGAAGGGACTGTCTCCTTCTCAGCCTTCGTTTCAAGTCCTCTTGGGTACTGGACAGTCCATCTATTATTTGAATTGGTGTTGACTGCAGTCATAGCTCCCTTTAGCCCCACCTTCTCCCACCTGGGTGTCATTGTCTGAGTTTCATAGAATGGGTGGTGCTTTGTTTTGTGTGTTCAGCTGCCAGGAAGCTAGAGGGGGGTGAGGAGAGTATGCAGAGCAGTTTCCATTTACTCAGAAGTGGTGCAAGAGAACTCAAGTGGCTGGTTTTTTCATCCCAGATCTCCAACCCTTTCTAGGATTGGTGAATAGCTTTTGCCTCAGCTATGTAGTGGGCCTGCCCCCTCACTGTTTGTAAACTGGATCCCAAGAACAAGGCTGGACAGGAAGAGGGAGGCCTCCTTCAGAATGACCTTTGTACCTCTATGCTGAGTTCCTCGTAGAATATACATACTCTTGTGCACCTTGCTTCTTGGATCTGCCAGAGCTTCAACATGTAAATAATCGTTGAAATATTTTTCAAATGAAGGCCATGTGTCAAAGGAGTAGGAAGTTGTAATGTTGCACCATTGACCTTGGAAATGTTTTTTTCCAGTCTGAGAACCAAGTATTTAAGATAAGAGTCTGGCTGCTAGTGAGAGGGGCTGAGTGTGCAGGTGATGACTTGTCATGGAGCAATGACAGCAAGACATGAATGAGACAGTTCATTTTGTGGGTGTCATCCTGCCTAGAGCAGCACTTGATGGGGAAGGTTAGAAGTTATAATTTGAAAAGGCTTTCTACGCATGATAGAGCCTTCCTTCCCCCATGCCATTGAGAACTGCTGGTGTAGAGAAAGAGCTTAAGAGAGGAGGTATTAGATTCTTTGATCAGAGATGGATAACATCCTGTTTTAGTTGAGAAACTCAGGTTGTTATTATTATCACCCGATTACCTAATATGTATCTCAAGAAAGATAATTTTAATTTTTAAAAATAGGTTAGGTCCAGAACAACAACAAAAATGGTTTCTGGATAGAACTGAACTGGGCATTCCTTTGTGGTTTAACACAAATCCTAAGCCTTAGGTAGAGCCTGCCATGGGTAATTCTGATGAGCTTTCGTTGAATGTGCAATCTTTACACATAAATCCTCGCATCCTGGTCTTCTTTTCTTTTCTTTTTTCTTTTTTTTTTAGCTGAGCCATTCTGCCACCTGTAGGCAGCTCAGAGGCAGCTCAGCTCGGGCTGGGAATCGAACCGGTGACCCTGTTGCTCAGACCTCACACTCTTGAGCTCTTTTTTTTTTTTTTTTTCAGTCTAGTTGTGGAGGACATTGCTTCACTGGCCCATGTTGGTATTATCATTGCGCTCTTCCTGGGTGAGCCAGTCGACAGCTCACGAAGGCGNCCGATGTGGGACTCTTAAACCAGAGCATGGACAGTTGAGTGAGAGTGTAGTTATTAGAATACCCCTTTAGAAACTCAGATAACAAGGAGTCGGAAGAGAGTAGCAGAACCCTTTCCAGCCCAGCATCCTGAGCCAACCGCTGAAGGCAGAAAGAAGAGTGGAGTCGCACAGTGGTGAGGAGAAGCCTGCTGAGAGACTGAAATGAATACGCCTTGATGAGTTCTGAAACCTGCTGATTTCTAGGTGGAATGTAGACCAAGAGTCTCTGTTAATAATAAATAAGGAAATGAAGGTAGACAACACTTCCCCCCTTCCCCACCATCACACCATGTTGATGAAGAAAGGGAAGTAGAAACAACCTTTGAAAATGAGAAACAATAATAGTTTCAGAGTAAAACCTCACCATCCTCAACGCTTGGGAATGTGAAAACCACACACCACTGCAACATGGTGTCTCACTGATACTAATCTTCTCAAAAATGGGTAATATTACAGGCTGCAGGCACCACTAGGCTTTATCTTGATGTGTAAGTGAGCCTCAGGCCCCGTAACGCTGGTTCAGCATATAATTTACAGCAGTTGTTGCGATCGGAACAAAGGGGCCGCAAACTTCTGGAGCACACATCAGCATGAAAATGGGGTGAAATAGGATTCTCTGTGGAAAACACTGGACTCGGTAAATGATTATGTTCATTACAGAGCTAACGTTTGAAGATTTATCCAATAAAAAATTAAATGCAGACTGAACAGAAGTGCTCTGAATAAAGGAAAAATATAAATATTTTATATATTGAAAATATTTGACATATTAATGTTAACATACTTAATAATTAATATATGTGTGAAATATATATATATAAAAATATATATATATATATATATATAAATTATATATATATATATAAATAAATATCTATCCCCCAGAAATCACCGTGGTCTTAGAAGAAAATCTGGACAAATATTTTGAAGTTCCCTGAATTTCATGATAGTGCACTAATATAATTCCATGACGAAGTAACCTGAAAATAAAGTGTCAGGGTAATATGACCTCTTCAAACACATCTGACCAACAGAATTTGCTAAAGGAAAGTGGCACATAATTAATCTTATTAGATTCTGAGTTGTGCAGAATACTTGAAAGTTAATGTCACCTGGTATTGGGGAGATGTTTCATAAGAATACAGGGCAAGCAAATTAGATATAAAGAAGCTGATTCTGGTGAAACAGCCTCATGCAACTGTTGTTCCGTGACATATAGCCAGTCCCCATGCTTGCTGAGTGTTCATAATTAGGCATGGAAGCCTAGGACAGTCTCAGGAAGCATGGGAAGAATGGGACTAGGGGATAGGAGACACAGCTTCTGGTCTGGACGCTACTAGTAACTAGCTTTTAGTTTAGGTGAGGTCACTTAATTCCTGAAAACCTTAGGACTTTCAGTCCAGCAAGTAAGTAGAATGACATGGTCTTCTACTTAAAGCTTTCCAATTCTATTCATGTTTTAAAGAAAGCAAGGTGTTTGCAAATCATTATAAGACTGTAAAAAATCTGAGAGCATTATTATTATTTTTTTATTTGGGAACAGTGTATTTTTCCAGGACCCATCAGCTCCAAGTCAAGTAGTTGTTTCAATCTAGTTGTGAAGGGCGCATCTCAGTGGCCCAAGTGGGGATTGAACTGGCAACCTTGGTGTTATGAGCACTGCTTTAACTGACTGAGCTAACCGGCCATCCCCTGAGAGTGTTATCTGAACAATCAGTAAATTGCATTCATATAATGTCTCTATTAGACATTAGCAAAAATGAATGAGCTGGATTTCACTTCTTTTTAGAAGGCCTGAAACCAGTCATTTAGATAAAATCTTTTTCTACAGTTAAGTCTTTGGAGGAATGTGTGTGCAGAAACAAGGCACACAAATTCCCATTTTCTTCTTTCCATCTCACTACATGCAATGACCATGTTGTTTGTTAAAATAGCACCAAAAAACACATTTTGATTCAGCCTCTGTATTAGCAAACGATGCACTTGACAGATTTACAAAATAAGATTAATCTTGGAAATAAAAACAAAACTAAAAAGAATAAACTGAGGCCTATAAAAAATTCTCGAGGAAATGAAAAGAAACTTATTGTTTGAAACATTTTACTAGATAATAACAATGTATGCTGCCTTCCTCTACCCTGGGAAGATTAAATGACCTATTAAGCACTTTTGGATAACATTTTATGATTTTATGATGACACTTATAGCTTACTGTTGCTATAGCAGAACTAATATCAGCCTTAAGTAGTCTGTCATCTGTGACCCCTCCACAGATGGAAATGTTCTTTAGACTCAAAATCAGCACTGCCTATAGATATATAATGTGAGCCACATATGTAATTTAAAATTTTCTAGTAGCTACATATTAAAACATAAATAGACATAGGACATTCATTTTAATTTTTCACTTTACCCAATATACAAAAATATTATTTCATTGTGTAATCAATATGAAAAGTTATTCATGTTGTATTTTTATTTTATTTTTGCGCTAAGTCTTCCATATCCAGTGTGTATATTACGCTTACAGCACATCTTAAATCATTTGCTAAATTTTAAGTGGTTGAAGCTAAGTGGAGACCTACTAAAACAATCAAGTCATGTTTAATGGAAAAATATCTCACACTCTGTCCATTAAAAAGAAAATTTTTAATTAAAATGAAATTACATTAAAAATGGAGCTCCTTGGGCCGGCCGAGTGGCGTGATGGTTAAGAACTGGCTTGGGACGCCAGAGGGCTCCGGTTCGGATCCCATATATGAGGGCCAGTGACACTGCCCTCCACAGCTAAGATGCTGAACAACAGCTCAACCTGGAGCTGGGTTGCCATGAGTCGCCAGTGNCTATTTTACAAAGAGGAAAACCTGTGGTTGAAGGCTCTTTGGAGAAGAAACCCCCTTTTGAAAAGCCTAGTATTGAACAGGTAAAAAGAAAAAACGAAAACCCCCCCTTTTTTTTTTATTGCTTTAAGGCTGAACAAACCTTCTACACTTCCTTTTATATCTCTGTAATCATCTTTCTTCCATCCTCCTTACCAAGCCTGCAGAAATTGTCTTGGACCCGTTAGTTCAGAAGTGAACACTTAATTTAATAAATGATGTAGTTTATGCCTTTTAGGGTTGCTATGTATTCAGAATTCATTGTGTATTTGAAGGAGAAAAAATTAAGTAGAACATGTAGTTCGTAAAGAACACATGAAATGTGCTTTTTCTTGCTGTCGATCTTTTAAAATTAAGTCTTTGTCCTTTTGTTTGGCACTGTCTGAAAAAGCCTATTGAGGTGGGGGAATTCAGTAGCAGTATGAAAAACATTGTAAGTCCAGCAAAAACACAAAAAAGAAATGAGATTTTGTATCCGAAAATTGACTTCCTGCTCCATTATGATTCCTGGAAAGAAGCCGACTTACTGGGGAATCTGTTGACACATATAGACTTTTTCGGTTAGATGTTGTCAGTATCCCCCATCAGCATCACTTTTTAGCTTATCATTGTTTGGCTGAATAAATCTCAGCTATTCTTGACCGAATTTCTTGATGAGAGTGATTACAGAAGACATGATATCAGAGTCCTTGCAAATAAATGCATTTTTAATCAGTCTTCAGTAGAAGACATTTTATTGTGTCTCTAAACCCTGTTAAATAAGAATTCATTGCTCTTTTATTGGAAATTAGATTACATGGGAGAGTTATGCAGACAGATTAAATTAATGCACAGATTCTTTCAAAAGCTCTTAATTTGGAATAAGAATTTTTTTTTTTTTTTTTTGGTGAGCTTGCTGAAACAGAGTGATAGTAAAGAGTTTAAATTCTCATGGAGTGTTAGCTCATTAGAAGCCACACTCAATAGTAGCTTTCTGATTAAACTCTGCTAATGTGAAAACATTATATGTGAGCTACTGTATAGATAGTACAGCAATAATTATTCTGCAAAATAGTCATTTTTTTTTTAATTGTGTGAGGGGTTTTGACCTTTTCAAGTCTGCGATTTTGATTTTATCTTTAAAGCCTCAGAATTGTAGCAGGCGTCGACTCCCAACTCACAGCCTGTCTGTCTTGTCACTTTTCATCCACTGTGATCTGAGGCATGATTCCCTCTGGGCATTCCTGTTTTCTAATAGGGAAAAGGAAGAGATTTTTTTTGTGACTAGAGAAATGGCTGTTCTTTTGCTAATAAGCCACTAATGGTGCCGACTGTGTGGGTGTTCAGAATGAGTATGCTTGCATAGCTACATGACTAAAACTACCTTTCCTCCTTTTCAGGGTGTGAACAACTTTGTACAGTACAAATTTAGTCACCTGCCCGCCAAAGAAAGGCAAACCATCGTTGAGTTGGCAAAAATGTTTTTGAACCGCATCAACTATTGGCACCTGGAAGCACCATCTCAACGAAGACTGCGCTCTCCCAGTGAGGATATTTCTGGATACAAAGAGAACTACACAAGGTAAACGGCTGAGCGCTTTTTCCCCGTTGGCCCCCTAGAGCACGGTGCAGGAATGAGGTTGCTGCTGGTCTCTGTAAGCAGGGGGTTGCCCAGGTATCATGGCAACTCCATCAATTCAGAGAGAATGTCTCTATGATTTAACTCTCCAGACTCCTTAATGTGAATATTAACATTAATATTAGTATTAATACTTTTCATTAATGTGATGTTTTGGGGAGCGAGAGAGACCTGAACTACCCAGTGTGATAGATGCTAGCCACATGTGGCTGTTGAATACTTGAAATGTGGCTCGTATTGATTCAGATTGCTAAGAGTGTACAAAAAAAAAGTGAACTATTTCATCAATAGTTTTTTATGTTGATTACATGTTAAAATGATAATATTTTGGACATATTGGATTCAATAAAATATAGAAATTTTACCTGTTTCTTTTTACTTTTTTAATGTGACTACTGGAAAGTTTTAAATTACATCTATAGTGTGCGTTGTGTTTCTATCGAATATCACTGATCTAGATAACTATACTGTGATTCTGTAATTATAATAAGACCTCACTCATTAAAAAAAAGAGAAAACAATGACCACAAATATAATAGTGTTAAAATTTTTTTTTTAAAAAGGAAAAATCACCCTAGTTTCCCAGTACCATGATGGAACTAATGTCATTATACATATTGTCTTTCAGTTTTCACCCCTTTAAGTAAATATTTTATCTTAGTTAGAATGAAAGAAAAAAATAACAGAATTTGCATCCTTTTTGTTCCCTGACTTAACATCATATCAAACATTTTACTGGTTACATCACAGCCTGTTGAGTTATGTGCCATATTTTACCTAACCATTTCCCTATTGGTAAACATCAAACTGCACATATTCTTGGGTTGCACGTACATTTTTTTCTAAACTAGGAATTTATTTTTCTTGTTTATGAAATGTAGAATAGTAACATTGACTTTAAAAATCTTAAACATGGGCCATACAAAATAGAATGACCTACATTTATTTTCATTTAAGTAAGAAAGTGACTAGATTATCCATTCTATTTATCTTTTTTTATACTTTCCCCATATATTTTATAGGCACATCAAGCTTGCTTCAGGGGGTATTATGGAGTGTGTCTTCTCTCTCTCTCTCTCTCTCTCTCTCTCTCTCTCTCTCTTTAGATTTAAAGTAGACAGTGTATTTTGATAGCCTGTAAAGACCACTTGTACCCAGGTTATTTTCTATAATAACAGATGAGATATAGAAGTGGGTATAGTTTAAGATAAACTCCTCTCTGATCACTGACCAGATTTCATGAGAAATACCCCCTTTCCCTCTCCTGCCCCCTTTTACAGTATATACAATTTGAGTTTTAAAGTATTTTCTCTTAATTATTGACTTTTAAAGGAATTACAGATTTCTTCAAAGTCAGTTTTTTAAATTATACCTCCTTTTTACACCTTCATTTTACAGTTTTACATTAACAATAATAGTTCCTATATGACAACCATTGTTTATAGTGAGTTGAGATAATCTCTCTGAAATAAATATCTTTTAACCCCCTCTGTGAACGAAGGACAAACCTGAATGTTTGTCAAAGCCAAACCCCTGAAAGTATTTGCCACTCTTCACAGAGGAAACATTTTCATCAAGAAGGAGAATTAAATGTGAAGTCGCCCGGGAGATGTTACCATATTTTAGAAGGCAGAATGAAAGAGTACTATGTAGCACTTGGGATTTACCAAGAAATGGGTGGAACTTC